CGAGTGTGGTGCCTGGGGGAAATAACATATTTGCATATGTTCTGTTCCTTTCAAAGTGTGTGTTCAAAACCTCCTGAGGACTTACTTAGCATCTAAAAGCTGCCTGCCTAGGCTGATAATCAGCTAGTACCCACCCCACTATGTGGTAACAAGTATTGTTTGTCAGAGGCTGACACTATTGACAGGATAACCACTCTGATTGGTCAGGCATAGTTTGTGACTGGTTGGTATCTGAAACATGCCATTAAGCATGGCGTGCTAGAACACCCCAAAACCACCACAAGCCTCTTAATTCTTTGTGTAACTGTGTGAACTAATGTACCTGAACATCTTGGGCAGCTAGGAACTTGAAACTTGTTGGAACTGGCTCTCTGCACATTACTGCCTTCATGTTCCTCCATCCCCACCCCGAGGTGTGTTCTTTGGAAAACAATCACTTGGAATTTCCCATGAAGTTAATATATGCTGTAGCCATCTCTAACGAAGATCAAATGTTATTTGGAGGAAATCTGGCCATGCACTTGCATAAGCCATTCCTGTCCCAGGTGAGTCCTGGGATAATCTCAGCACTGGCCAATCAACACACTCGGCCTGAGTCTCCTTTTTGGCACCTTTACCAGCCCTCCCTTATTTCTAGTGACCTAATGTATGTGCTTCATAATTAAAGAGGCATGAGCTCCCTTTTGCTCTGATGCCTGGGGGATATCATCTTTCTCTTACCTGGAAAAGCCCACTTCTGCTAGCTTTCATTCAGCCCAAGGCTTACTGCTTCTAGGCCCTCCAGGCTCACTGGCAGTTTGTGAAATTACAATTGGGAACAGATCTGGCTACACACGGGGGAGATGTTTTGCATTGTATCACTGAGGTCACTGAAGAGGACATACATTGTGCACGTTGATCATTCTCAGTGATTACTTTTTCTAAAAGAGAGGAAAAAAAGGTCCTTCCCCCTTCCTTTCCCTCAAACACTCTCATCCCCTTCTTCTAAAACCTTGTAGGCAAGTAGATCTCAAGCTTTAATGTGAATCATTAAATCTTTAACCTGGATTTATTCTTAATGTGGATCTTGTTAAAAATGCAAATTCTGATATGACAGGTCTGGAAGTAGAGCTTTAGATAAAGAATTTTTTTCCTGAGGTATAATTGATGCATGTCATTATATTTTCAGGTGCACAACATATGATTTGATATTTGTATACATTGCAAAATAATCCCCACAATAAGTCTAACAACTGTCACCATACCTAATTAGAAAAAAAAATTCTTGTGATGGAGACTTTAAGATCAACTCTTAGCAACTTTCAAATATGCAATACAGTAGCATTAACTATAGTCACTATGCTGTACCTTACATCTGCATGCCATATTTATAACTGGAAGGCTGTACCTTTTGACAGCCTTCACATACTTCACCTATCCCCACCTCTGGCAATCAACAGTCTCTTTTCTGTACATCTTATGGCTGGGGGAGGTTTTGTTTAGATTCCACATATGAAACCACACAGTATTTGTCTTTGTCTGTCTGCCTTAATTGACTTATGCCCTCAAGGCCTTTACATGTCATCACTAATGGCAAGATGTCATTCTTTTTTTGGATAAATAATATTCCTCTCTCTCTCTCTCTCTCTCTCTGTGTGTGTGTGTGTGTGTGTACACCATATTTTCTTTACCCATTCATCTACTGATGGACACTTATCGTTGTTTCCGTATCTTGGCTATTATAAATAATGCTTCAATGAGCATGGGGGTGCATATACCCTTCCAAGTTAGTGTTTTCATTTTTTAATAAATACCTAGACATAGAATTGCTGGTTGACATGGTATTTCTCTTTTTAATTTTTGAGGAACCTACATACTGGTGTTCATGGTAGTTGTACCAATTTACATTCTCACCAGCAATGCACAGTGGTTCCTTTTTCTCCACATCCTCACCAACCCTTGTTATTTCTTGCCTTTTTGATATTAGCTATTCTAACAGGTGTGAGGTCATATCTCATCGTGGTTTTGATTTGCAATTCACTGATGCCTGGTGATCTTGAGCACATTTCATGTTCCTGTTGGCCATCTGTATGTCTTCTTGTGGAAAACGTCTATTCAGATCCTCTGCCTTTTTTAAATTGGATTGTTTGATTTTCTGCTATTGAGTTGTAAAAGTGCTTTATGTATTTTGGATACTAACCCCTTATCAGATAAATGATATATTCTCCCACTCAGTAGGTTGCCTTTTTATTTTCTTAATGGTTTTCTTTGCTAATGTAGTCCCACTTATTTACTTCTGCTTATGTTGCCTTTGCTTTTCATGTCAGATTCAAAATATAATTGCTGGGGCTCCTGGGAGGCTTAGTCAGTTAAGCCTCTGACTTCAGCTCAGGTCATGATCTCATGGTTCGGGAGTTTGAGCCCCGCATCAGGCTCTGCGCTGACAGTACACAACCTGCCTGGGAGTCTCTGTCTCTCCCTCTCTCTGCCCCTACCCACTTGCTTGCTGGCTCTTTCCCAAAATAAACTTTTAAAACGTTTATTTATTATTTATTTTTTTCCCAAGAATGATGTTAAAGAGCTTATTGCCTGTGTTTTCTCCTAGGAGTTTTATAATTTCAGGACTTAGGTACAAGTCTTTAATCCACTTGTAGTGAAATTCTGTGTATGGTGCAAGAGTAGTCCAATTTCACTGTTCTCCACTTGGCTATCCAGTTTTCTCAGCACCATTTATTGAAGAGACTATCCTTTCTCCATTGTATATTCTTGGTTCCTTTGACATAAATTAATTGAGCATATATGCATGGATCTAATTCTGAGCTCTCTGTTCTGTTCCACTGACCTACATGTCTGGTTTTATGCCAAACTATATTGTTTTGATTACTATAGCTTTATAGTAGTTTGAAAATAGGGAGCATTATGCCTCCAGCTTGTGTTCTCTCAAGATTGCTTTGGCTATTTGGGGTCTTTTGTGGTTACATACAAATTTTAAGACTGTTTTTTTTCTGTGAAAATGCCATTGGAATTTTGACAAGGATTGCATTTAATCTGTACATGGCTTTGAGTAGTATGAACATTTTAACTATATTGATTCATCCAATCCACAAACACAGAATATCTTTCTACTTGTGTCTTTTTCAATTTCTTTCATTAATGTCTTACAGTTTTTCAGTTTACAGGTCTTTAACACCTTGGGTAAATTTATTCCTAGATATTTTCTTTTTGATGCAATTGTAAATGGGATGATTTTAATTTCTCAGACAGTTTATTATTAGTCTAGAAATACAACAGACCTTTTGTACTGATTTTATATCCTACAACTTTACTGAATTGGTTTATTATTCTAACAGGTTTTTGATGCTCTTTAGGATTTTCTATATAAAATGTCATCTTCAAATATTAACAGTTTTACTTCTTTCCAACTTGGATGCCTTTTCTTTCTTTCTCTTGGCTAATTGCAATGACTAGGACTTCCTATACTACATTGAATAAAAGTGGCAAAAGTGGGCATTTTTGTCTTGTTTCTGATCTTGGCGGAAAGGCTTTCAGCTTTTCACCATTGAGAATGATGTTTCCTATGGGCTTGTCATATAGGGCCTTTATTATGCTGAGATACATTCCCTCTGTACCCACTTTTTTTCTATTTTATTTTTTATTACTTAAGTATAGATGACATGCAATGTCATTTAGCTTCAGGTGTAGAACATAGTGATCCCACAATTCTATACATTACTCAGTGCTCAGCACAATAAATGCAGTCACCAGCTGTCACCATACATTATTACAATATTGCTGACTATATTCCTTTGTGAGGTACTTTTCATCTCTATGATTTATGTGTTTTATAACCGAAAGTTTGTACTTCTTAATGCCCTTCACCTATGTCACCCATCACCTCACTCACCTCCCCTCTGGCAACCAACAGT